AAAGCCAAATAGAACTCATTTGAAAGAAATATCCCCTATTAGTTTTTAATTAGACATTTTCAATGAGAATAATGTTCCTTATTCCAAGTCTCAACCTACTCTCCAAAAATATCCTACCCGAGCCCCAACCCCATTACAACCTGTAAGACCTAAAAACATATGTGTATCGGGCATCTTTCCATCTAATTAGAACTTATTCAAGCATATGGTATTATGTTTCATACTATGAATTTTGAGTGAAAACACATAAACACTTGAGAGATTTGGTGAGAGTGTACAATGAGGTAACTGGTGAAGTAGTATCATTAAGTGAAAATGTGGAAGATCAATCGACCACGATAAACAGGCAAAACTTAAGATCATGGTAAAAGAGGACCAATGAAGATCATAGAGGTATGGTATTTTCAAAAATTTTAACTTTATTGGTTTTGGCATGAGTAGATAGTCTTAAAGTTGCTTGAGGACCAAAAACAAGCTAAGTCCGGGGTTGTGATCAATCGCCATTTCTGATGTAATTATTATCATTTTAACAAGTAAAAATATGCGAGTTATTTGGATTTTCCATAAAGTTTGAGTGGTTTATACGTCAATTTCTTTAATTTTCGTATTTGTATATGTTTTAGTTATCCTCTAGCATGGTTGGTATCATTACTCATTTTCCCCAAACATAATTCATTTCAGATTTCCTTGGAAGGTAAATCGACAGTGGTTGACGTATTCCCTGAAGGTTCAAAGCCCAATTGTCATTAGCACCTTTCTTCATCAGATTCTTGGGTCGTCTACCCAGCAAGTGTTTGTTGTTTCTGTCTTCATGTTGTGATGGAAGCTCACTTTGAAGTTTCTCCAGCAAAGGTTATATTTTGAAGGCAGTTCAGTTTGCTTTCCCCGATAGATTTGTTTCCGGTTCTTTTCGGCACTTCTTCTGATGGAGTGTCTCTTGTATATTATAAGCATTTTTGCACTGCATTCTCTAAATGCGTAGCATTTCCATTCTGTATGGAGCATTACACCATAGAAAAATTTAAACATATGCATTTAAAGCATAAGCCAAGTTTGATATCCTTTTTTCCAATTCTTTCCCTAGCATAAAGTGGCATAACTCAGGAGATACGGTTTGACTTTGTACCCGAAACAACGGGTTTGTTCATCCTACTCGTGTTTCCTTCCCGAGGAATCATGTTGTGCTTCCCCTACAGAGTCGTCTATCTAGGCTTCTCTTCTCCCCAACGGAGTCACCTTCAATTCTCTTCAGGTTGTAAGTTTATGATTCTACTTCCTGTATATCTCTGGTTGTATTCCAACTTTTGGTTGGTATCTTTTATTCTATCCCAACTTTTGGTTGGTATCCTTTGTTGTATTCCAAATTTTGATTGGTATCCTTTGATATATGCCAACTTTTGGTTGTATCCCAACTCTTGGTTGATATCCTTGGTTGTATCCCAACTCTTGGTTGGTATCCTCTGGTTGTTTATCCTAACTCTTGATTGGTATCTTTTGTTGTATCCCAACTCTTGGCTGGTATCCTTGGTTGTATCCCAACTCTTGGTTGGTATCCTTTGGTTGTTTATCCCAACTCTTGGTTTGTATCTTTGGTTTTATCCTAACTCTTGGTTGGTATCCTTGGTTGTATCCCAACTCTTGGTTGGTATCCTTTGGTTGTTTATCCCAACTTTTGGTTGGTATCTTTGGCTATATCCTAACTCGTGGTTGGTATCCTTGGTTGTATCCCAACTCTTGGTTGGTATCCTTTGGTTGTTTATCCCAAATTTTGGTTGGTATCTTTGGTTGTATCCTAACTTTTGGTTGTATCCCAACTCTTGGATGGTATCCTTGGTTATATCCAACTCTTGGTTGGTATCCTTTGGTTGTTTATCCCAACTCTTGGTTGGTATCTTTGGTTGTATCCTCTGTTTTATCCTAACTCTTGGTTAGTACCTTGTATCCCAACTTTTGGTTGGTATACTCTGTTTTATCCTAACTCTTGGTTAGTACCTTGTTCCATCCCAACTTGTGGTTGGTATCTCAGGTTGAATCCAAGCTCTTGGTTGGTAACTTCTGTTTATCCTAACTCTTGGTTAGTATCTTGTTATTCTAACTCTTGGTTGGTATCCTTTGATGTGATTTCGCCTTCGGTCGGTGTTCTGTTTATTTTAACTCTTGGTTGGTAGCCTCTTGTCGCATCTCGAAAAATAATTCGATCATACACGACCCTCGCGCAAAAGGCGGGGAAATGCAGTTTGACAGAGTCGCCACTGAACTTTATTTATCTCAAAAAAGGAAAGGAAAATATCGAGAAAACCTTTTAAAACGAAAGGACAGGAACACGGCCGTCACAACCGATGTTTCAGATTTGGGATTCAGCTACGCAAGGGGAAGGTATTAGCACCCCTCACGTCCGTTGTACTCAATGGGAACCTCTTAATTCGAATTGTGATGAACGTTAACTAAGCTTAATTGTTTTCTTTTTAATAATAAATGCAAAATGGTAAGGTAAAAGGATAACGATGCTAGGGGAAAATGGGTGGCTACAGGACAGGGTGCTCGACAAGGATTGGGGCCCTTGTGCCTACGTATGCTCATTCGGACGAGAATGAGAAATCAGAGCTCTCGTAGTTCGACTACAGGAAAGAATAGGGGAAACAGAAGATGGATGGAAGGTAGCTCGCCAAGATCATCACAATCTTGTGCCTACGTATCTTACATTCAAAGATGAATGAAGAATCAGAGCGTCCGTAGTTCATGGAAACGACCAAGAAAAGAAAGGGTTGAACAATTGAAGTTTGGGTACGGATGAAGATTACTCGAAGCTTAAGAAAGGTTCTCCGGGCCTAAGTAATCGGGAGAACGAGTCAAAGACTTGACTCTCTCTCTTTTTCATCTTGAAAAGAAATTGTGTTTGAATGGTGTTTGAATGATGAGTGGTTGGAAGATAGGTCGAAGGTTGTATAGTTGGAAATGATTTAGAGGCGTCCATTGCTCATACAAGAGTAAGATAAGTCATGTCCAAACAACTGAAGAGAGATCAAAGGCTCAATCTCCCTCTTTTCACCTTGAAAGAGTTTCGATAGTTGCTAATTGTTTTGATAGTTTATTGAGAAAATCCTTTTGATGTTGGGTCAAGGGTTTGACTTATATTTGCATGCAAAACCGTGGTTGAATGGAAGTGGGTTTGAAAAATGGCTCGACGACGAGTCGAGGGTTTGGTTGAAAATGAAACCGGCTTGACGACGAATCAAGGGTTAGGATGTGAGAAACGATACTAGTCCCTGAGGGTGCTCCTAATAACGGAACCACAATGAAACGTGAAAGTGTGTGCAATAGGTTGATGGCGAATATGGACAAGCACTCGACTTACAGAGGGGTGTTTGAAAAAATGGCTCGACGACGAATCGAGAATTAGTTTGAAAACTGTTTAGTCTATGCTAGTTATTATGCCCCAAAGTTTACCCTTAGATTCTTTGATCTGTTGCATATCATTTAGGACAATTATCCATACATAGCTAACCAGTTTATTAGTTTTTGTTTGTTTTGAAGATAGGTCGTTGCAGAAGTTTCATGGGTCATGAAGACTTTCTGTATGCTCATAGTCCCTACAAGTTGTGTTGAATTCCTGTGGATATGAAAGAAGGATATGCCATCATTCTTATGGTCCTGTAGTCAGTACAAGTTTAATGTTTCTCTCCAAAGATTTCTTAGAGGTTTCCCAAGGAGAACAAAGATTTCCTGTCCTTTGGTTTCAAGGATTCTGATTTGAGAACTTGTCGAAATTGTATGTCTAATGTGAATATCCAAAGATTTTTCAATAGCGTGGTTTGATTTTATTTATGAAGGGGGATTATTAATAGTCAAATGAAAGAGTTTGGATTTTGGTAGTTTTTGAACCGTTTGATTTGAAACGGTGAATATGGATGAATAATTTGGACTCGAGTTTAGACAAATAATCTTCAAATTGAGATTCAAGATTCATTTTTTTACAAATATCAAATGAACTCACTATGTTTAGCTTCAAATCCAAACTTAAGCTTTGTATTCAAGTTGCAATTTCAAAGAGGTTATTCAAGTGAGGTTATGCCATATAGTTATTAAGAGTCTTTGATTCAAAAGAGTTTTTGGCATTCCATTAAGTGCAAGATTCATTGTTTTTCATAAAGATCCAAGGTTTCAAAATTTTGAAATTGCATGATAAGTTATGATTCATTGTGTCTCACTTTTGAATCCATTCAATTTTGGCAAGATGAGATTCATGTGAAAATTCAAGGAGATTGGCATCTAGTTTGCATCATTTTTAGATTAAAAAAATTCAATATTTTTAAGATTGAATTCCAATTGCGAAGATTCATATTTTTCATACGCTTCATGTTAAAATTCAAAATCAAAGTTGTCATGAAATTCAAAGAAACTCTCAAGAAATCTATGAATTCAAAAGATGAACCACAATGCAAAGCATAAGATTAAGCCATCATAAGACTCAAAGAGTTTCAAATAAGGGACTCACTTTTAAGGACAAGGTCAACTTTGTAATTATGAGAAACTTATTTTATGGGATAGATTGATATTGTGATTACTTCATGGTTCATGTTCAGTTGGATTGAATGATATCACTTACGCATTATTTCATGCGCCATATACGTACGTTTTTTGCTACTGGAAATTAAGATGAGACAAAGACATCAATGTATCATTTTGAAAGTGTAATTCTATGCTAAAATCTTTGATTATGCATCTGCTAAATATTACATTCCAAGTCCCTACAATTAGCGTTACAGTAAAAAGATCCCTATGGATCGAATTCTAGACAGTAGAATTTTGGCGTCGCAAGTGGTCGTAACGGTAGCCATTCCACGCATTTTTGGGCCGCGGTTTGCTTAGAGGATAAATCAAAACCAAACTGCACAACAAAAAGAGAAGAAAGCACTTCAAAGTAAAAATTATAAGGCTATCTACATTTTTTTTCCACAAATGTGGACGAGACGGTTGCTAGTCAAGCACACGGAACGCCTTTAATCACAGCATGCCAAGCCTGGTATTTCTCCACGAATTGAAGTCGTACTATTGGGATCTTCAGAAGAAATGGATTGAAGACCTTTGTATTTTTGCTGATCAATGTTCTGCAGAGTCATAAAAAGTCATCATTTTTTATTTTCTCAACAAAGAATATTGTTCCATTAATAAGGTCCATTTGGTTTGTAAAGTTTATAAACCTGAATCATGTCGACTAGCTTCGGTTTTCGGAAAATTCAATAATGATATCACATAACATGAACAATTAGGCAATGTCGTAAATAATTAAAGAAATTGTTAGTATTCACAATTCAAGATATTGTTGCATACTAAGTTTGATCGACCAAGTGTTATGACCGTCTCAATGTACATGATCCACGAGGCGCATTGTTCTGGAGTAGAAACAAAATCACCAATCAACCTCTTGCCGGGACTGTTAGAAAAAGGAAAACACCAAAAGAAGATATCATGCTAAGGGAAGAAGTAATGAATAATGAAAAGCAATGAGCACAATACATAATGCTAGTTGATTTGGGGATAAGTGAGGCTGGAAAAATTTCCAAACTCGGTTGAAGAACAGAGCACCACTCCCATATTATGCATATAATATCTACAGAAGGTTTAACAAGCTCCAATTGGATATGCAAAGCTGCTACATGTTACACGAGCAAAGCTACAAAAATACCACCCAAAGTGTGAATGAACAAGTACACTGCAGAAAAAGTGACCAAACTACAAGCAAGTTGAATCAAAACGTGAAATTCACAAAGTGTTATCAGAAATGTTGTTCTTGTTGCAGAGCATGAATCTCCGCACTATTGGTACACCTGAAATCCACAGGATTAACAACTTGCAACGAGGAATAATATTATCTGCATTAAACGATAATTATCATCGAAATTCAGGATAAGCACTTTCTCAAACAACTATAATCAGAATTCCATCAAAGCATAGTCAAACCTTTAAAGTTAAACACAGAAAGAATCCAATTATGTCGAAACATGTTCAACTTGATAGGGAAATAACAATCATCATAGGGACAACTTATGTTTTCCAAAACATGTTCTAACATGTCCAGTTTTAAAAAGGAAACTTTGAACCATATAGCTTTGACAGTAAACACACAAGGTAGCAAGGAATCATAGTTTTATTTCACTTCCAAATTGAATCATAAACATGTTATAGCAATAATGGAAAGAATATTAAAAACTTAACAACTTGTCTCTTTATTCAAAAACAAGGTCTATATAAAGAGAACACGATTCAAAAAAAGAGGAGAGCAATAAGAACAAAAACATGTTTTCGAAGTTATACACACGAGAATAGAGATAGAAGAAATCATAACAATATTGAGAGTATCCAAACACGCAGACACGATTCGCGAAAGAAGCAAGAAGAGGAACGCAACCTGTATCTAGCTCGTGTCAGTATCGTCGTTGAAGTTGCGTCGGACGAACTCCGATAGGTATTTGCATTCACCTCCACTCTTTTCCTACTCATGTGGCTTCCCATTGTTGTTGTTGTTGCTGCTATATTTTTGTTCTTCGAACGCCATGTTTGTATCGATTCCGGAATTTGCAAAATCAAAGCCGAGAGGGAGGAGGATTGTCGTTAGGTTGTGGTGGAGAAAGATTTGAGACGAGATGAAAGAGAAGATAGATTGCAGGTGGTTGACCAGCTAAAACGGCGGGCGATTGGAGGGAGAAGAGAGGGTTGCACCGGCGATTGAAGAAGGACACAGTGGCGGAGAAGCCCTTCGAGAAGGAAAGAGAGAAACGATTTGGCTCTTTTAAGAAATTCTTATTACTGTTGGGTTAAAGTTATCAGCTGATGACCTCTTTTGTTTTTTTTCTTTCATACAATATGTGAGGGTGATGTTGGGGTCAGGTAGTGGAAGAGGAAACTCGACCCAACTTTTCTTTTTGTTTTTTTAGATTTTTTTTTTTGGGCTTGAAGCCCATTTTCGTTTTTATTTTTTATTTAAAAAATAATAATAAAATAAATAAAAACAAATTTTCGTTTTTATTTTTTATTTAAAAAATAATAATAAAATAAATAAAAACAAATTTTCTTTTTTTATCTTATTTTAAATTAATTTTGTTTAATTATTAAAAAAAATTTATTAGATTTTAAAGTAATAATTGGAGTAGTGGAAGTTAGTTAAATTTGAGACTCCTGCTTACTTTGAATTTGTGTTTTGATTATCATCGATTTTTGAATTTGCGGATTTAATTTTTTTTTTATTAGGTTTTTTAATCGAATTTTAGCGATCTTCTTTGTAGACTTTTGTTATGATCTTAAGGTATTTTTGCTGATATTTTTGTGCCATGGGCTTCGTGTACATATTTTGCAAATGTTTACTGACTTATGTTAATCCACACGCTCCCCCTAGGTTTGGATTCAATTATTTCTTTTGAATTAGGGTTTATCTTAAGTTTCGATGCATAGCATTGTAACAATAAGATAGAACACTATAATCCAAAGGAAAGGGTCTCATCCCGTTGACTGTCATATCACTCATATCAATTTTAGACCCTTACCCTTATCCTAGCCTTAGGATTAGAGTCCCTGCACTCCATGTCAGCATCCTGCCATGGACATTCTCTTCTATATCCTTATTCTAACCTTAGGATCAGGAGTCGCCGCACTCCACGTAAGTGTCCTGCCATGGATACTTACTTTCTTTTCAACTTGAACTTTAAACTAGGAGTCGTTGCACTCCATGTAAGTGTCTCCCTATGAACAATTACTTCCCCTTGGAACCTTTACCACAGTCAAGAGTTCCTCACCCTCGTTGAGGGGAACTACGAATGCTCTGATTCCATTCCCGTCAGGATACGTAGGCACGAGATGTGATGTCTTGGCGAGCATACTTAGGACTAACTCCTTAGGTCTCCTTTCAGCCCTTTAGCAGAAAGATAGCAAATAACAAATAACACAATATAAAACAAGAGGTTCCTGTAGAGTACTATAGATGCTTAGGATGCCAACACCTTCCCTAGGTATAACCGACCACCGAACCTTAGATCTCCCACATTGTTTTTATAGTGCAATTATGTTTTATTTCGTTCTTTACCCTTTCCTTTGGATTAATTAAAGCTCGGTGGTGAATATTTAAAGATTTGTGATTCAAGTTGATCAATAGCTTGATATTCGATTCTCACCGCAACAGAAATGGCGACTTCATTGGGGATTATGGTTTAGAGGGTTATCCCTAACTTGTTTATGTGTGTTATTTGCTGAATATCTATTTGTATATATTTATATGATTGTATCTGCTTGGGTTATATACTATTGTGAGGTAATTCCTATACCCGGACGTGAGTGTACTTATGATAGGAAGGTGATATATTTGAGAAGGCTTATAGGGAGTGATTCCCGACCAAACTAACTTGAGAATCACCGCTCAGTTGAGGCCCTCTTGTGAATGGTATTGTTGAACGAGTATTCGTGAAAACACTTACTATTTTTGACCTAGGAGCCTGTGATACTGGGAACCTTTAGTTACCCTTAACACAACTTTGGCCTTTCTTAGGACGTAGTACAATGACTATGAGGGAGTAGTCCCATAGTTGATACGTGATACTACACTCAAAAGAGGTTCTCTTGAGAATATTGTTAACCACCGAGTATTCAGAAAATTGATAATATCTGAAAGATGGACTGATGACTTTGGACACCTCTTAGAACCCTCGTTCTGCAGGTAAAGAACCCTTAGTATGCGCCCTTCGAGATGGGTAGACCATGACCCCATGCTTATGACCTTTAAACCTGGACCTTTGTTTGTATACCTGTATATGTGAATATCTGTATATGTGTGTTTATGAATCCATACATTCATGTATCAACCTTTGATTTCAAGGAATTCAATTGTCCATTCCTTTGCAAATTCAGTAAAGATCTTAAAATTTAAATGAAACTTTTTCAGTTTTTTCAAAAACATTTGCAACTTGCTTTTGGATTCCATGAAATCATTGCATTGCATTGCATTCATGTCTTTGCATGTTCATTTTTCTTGTTGCATTTTTGCTCATCTCGTTGTCTCGTCTTCAGTTCTTTCACCCTGAATCCTCTGTGCTCGTACAACACCAGAGCTCAAGCTCGTAGAAGGATGGCAGAACATAATCAAGAACTTGATCGTGTCAGCAATGAATTAGAAGACCTACGGGGAAGTGTAGGGTAAATCACAGAGATACTACAGGTTATGCGCGCGAAGATGGATGCTCAGTCCACTGTTGTTTTTGAGATTGTCAATATAGTTGTGGATCCTCAGCCAACTATTGTTACTATAACAAGTGTACCCCCATACGGTTTTCCACCAGGTTTTGTGCCGACACCTACTGCAGCTCCTATTGCTCAATAAGTCCAACAAGTTGTTCCTTTAGGTACTTAAGCTCCTCATGTGATTCCAACTTTTACACCAGCTGCCGTGCATACCCATGTGCAACCCTAATTCAATGAGCATCAACCATTATATGATGTTCATGACATGAAGGAAGATGAAAATGAACGTCATGAGAAAATCAGAGAAAATGTGGAAATTATTGAAAAAAGGTTGAGAATGATGGAAGGAGATCATGTCTTTGGTGCTGCTGCCAGAGAAGTGTGTCTCGTATGTGGTCTGGTTATCCCTCCAAAGTTCAAAACTCCTAGCTTTGATCACTATGAAGGAGCTACATGCCCAAAGAGCCATCTGATCATGTACTATCGAAAAATGGCCGCTCATGTTGATAATGATAAGCTGGTGATTCATTGTTTCCAAGATAGTTTAAAGGGTGCTTCGTCGAAGTGGTATTTAAGTCTGGATCAGTCTCGCATTAAGAGTTTCAAAGATCTATCTGATGCCTTTATAAAACATTATATATACAACATGGATTTGGCTCCTGACCAAAGGCAATTACTGAGTATGTCCCATAAGAGTTATGAATCGTTCAAGGAATACGCTCAAAGATGGAGAAAAACTGCTTCGCAAGTAGAACCTCCTTTGACTGAAAAAGAATTGGCCGATTGGTTTGTCGACACTATTCGTCCTGAGTTTTATGAAAGAATGGTTGGAAGTGTGATTGCTAATTTTTCTGATATTGTTGTTGTTGGTGTGAAGGTAAAGTTGGGTTTGAAAAGTGTAAAATGTCAAGTACTGCTGGTAATTCGAGCTCCAACAAAGACCATGCTAAGAAGCCTTCATTTAGTTCGCACAAGAAAAAAGACGGTGAAACTAATGCCATGATATCAAGCAGAAGAAGAAGTCAATGTTGGCAACATCAAAAAAACTATATTTAACAATAAGGTTACCCTGTCCAGTTTGCTCAACAATCGTATGTGGCTGTTGTTACACCTGCTTTCAATCAACAAGTTCCTACATATCAGCCTATGCAACCGGCTCCTGTTTATCAGCCACTTATCTATCAACCTCCTTCGGGTTATCAGTCCACCCAAGCTCCATTCAATTATCAACGAGCGCCCAATGCTCCTGCCTATCAACAACCGAAGAATCAAGCACCTCGCCAGAATGTCCCTAACAGAAGTCAGTATAAGCCTTCAGTTCCTCCTATTCTGATGACCTATATCGAGTTGTACCCTTCACTAGTGTAAAAAGGTTTGATAACTACAAGGGCTTTGGGTCTACCTCCTAATCCGCTGCCAGCTAATTACAATCCAAATGATCATTGTGTGTTTCATGAAGGTGCACCCGACTATGATCTAAAAAGTTGCTATGCTCTCAAGCACCTTGTAAGAGAGTTAATAGAAAAGAAGATTTTGTCCTTTGGTGATTCTCAACCTAATGTTAAGAACAATCCTTTGCCCATCCATGGGTCTGTTAATGTTATTGATGAGGTATCTAACGAGAGTTTAATTCTTGATGTCTCAGAGATTAAAACTCCTCTCCGAGTCTTCCATTCGAAATTGTTTGAGGTAGGTTTAGTGAATGTTTGCCATGATGATAGTATAGTTTGTGATGCTTGTGTCAAAGGATGTAAATTAGTTCAGAATGATATTCAGAATTTGATCAATGATTGTTTCCTACAAGTGAGTACCAAAGTGAAGAAGGATGAAATTGCTATGATTGAGCCCATCTTCAATTTGCCAGAACCAGGTGATAAAGTGTCCATTTTAACTTGCCAAAATCAAGCTCTGCAGTCGTCGCTACGCGAAAAATGACATAGAGTCGCCACCGAATTTTATTTATCCCAAATAGGGAAAGGGAAATAAAGATAAAACCTTTAGGGAAAGAACATGGTCATCACAACCAAGTTTGGGTTCAGAAGTCGGTTATGCGAGGGGAAGGTATTAGCACCCCCTCACATCCATCATACTCGATGGGAACCTTCTAAGTTGTCTACGCTTGAATGGGTGTACTATTCTAAAATTCTACTTGCTAAAGTTTACTTACTAAAGAGACAAGAGGTTATTTTTTATTTATTAGAGGGCTCGCCAAGGATTGGGGCCCTTTTGCCTACATATCTTCACTTGAAAGAAGTGAAGAATCAAAGCGTTCATAGTTCGTGGCTTGA